TTGTTCCTTTTCAAATCACATCATGACATTATTAACCTAAGCAGCGACATACTACCATACCCTCAAGATTCAAGTCAACGTACCCGTTCTACAAATCCTGACTGCCTACAATTTCAGACTTCAGCATGTAAAACATCTACCTATCAAAAATCCTATCTAATAAGGACTACTAGAGTCTGGAACACACTGCCAAGGGATTTAGTTACTATTAATGGCATGGCAACCTTAAAGGCGTTTAAAAATAAGTTGTATATCTATTATAAAACAGCATTAGATAAATGTTATGACGTTGACGATCCACGAACATGGAAAACGGTTTGCTTAAAATGCAATCAAGCTCGCGACCTTACAAGGCCGATAACGTGTTGTTTTTAGATTTTAATAGTTTTCAGAAGTAGCTTTTTGCATTGGTATCTATGGGCCTATCCAGGGTTTTGCTGAAGGTTTAGGATTGTGAGGGTCAAACGTCTTCTGATTCAGTCAGCTTCCGAAACTAGAAGTGGTCATGCGGGTCGCAATGTGAAAAGTTGAATCTGATATAGTTCGTTAATAATTGATTTTTCTATGTACGTATATAGTGTATTTGTCTAACATTTAGGGATTGCAGTAATTGGCGCAAGCTGTTGCGATTGCCCTGCCAGTTTTTGTGTTAACGTTAATTGTTTGAATCTGGCAAAGTTAATAAATTAAATATATATTGAGCGCGCAGTAGCGATTTTCCGCAAAACGCCAAAAAGGGTGTCCTGTAACCTTAAGACACCGTCACCAAGTATATATTGCAATAATGATAGTGATATACCGTGTGTCTCAAAAAAAGTATCGATGTTTGATTTAACATAATGTAAAAACTATACCAGGTATGGCTTTAAAATAAGTTTATAGTATTAAGAAAATGCTAACCTAAATTTTGGTATACAGTGCTAGATCTTTCATTTCATATTGGGCGAGATATAAATGTTTTTAGCCAAAGTTCGGTTTGAAAATTGGCGAAAAAATCGACTAAAACGGCTTATTAAATTTCTTTGAAGACATTTGCTATTTTTTCGGGAGTATTGAAAATTTTAAAGAAGTTAGCTTCAATCTTGTATTATTTTATGGTTTTGTATTATTTTATGGTTTACATAAAATATTTTGACCTTTGGAATTGCTTCTTCTTCATTCAATATTGCTCAAATATCTTCAAGTCATATATCAAAATTTAAGTTAGGCCTTTCTGAATTCAGTGAAGTCTATTTCATTGTGAAACTCCTTGTCCAGTTTTAACGGTATAACAAATCAAACACCGATACTTTTTTTTACACACCCGGTACATTATGTTTCATAAACTTAAGAAGTTGGGTTTCCCAAAACATAAATTAAGGCAATGATATGGCAACATAGAATATTGTCCACATTGTATTAAAAAAATCCTATTTTTCATTTAGTTTTCACGAATGAAAGGAAGGAGGAACTGCCAAGATCAAACAGGACTTTTCAACATCCATCCACCTCAACATTACCAGGCAATTCCTCACAACATCCACTTCCAGAAACCGAACAAGACCACATGAATGCAGATGGTGAAGATCACAAACCTCAAGGTAACTGCAGAGGGTATACAACATACAACCTCGTACCCAAGGTATACTAGTTGCAACGGACTATTCTACAATAGGGTCGAACCTCTCCCTCACAATAAAATATATTTTCTTCAGTAAGAATATCACATATAATACAGACCCTCTCTTATTCCTATAAGGGTAACAGACGGTGAATCTCATCATTGGAGGGCAAATACGTGCGGACACTCCTTATTACGGACGCCCTGGCAATATATATACATACGTATAAATACGTACATGCATACAAACTTTGCAATTCATGATATGATTATATATACATGCATGATCTTGCGGTTTGAGCTCGACAACTGGATTCTGTAGTTCTGCAACTGCATCTCTGGATTCTACAAAATCTTTCAACGTTAGTTGAATTGCTTGACATGCCCAAAAATCCCGTATATGTTGCATACAACTTCGTGTTTGCAGAAACACAAACATCAACTCTTTAGGGACGGACCATTAGAAAAGTGAAGTGGGGGGAGGGGAGGGGGGATTCTGCCATACATATAATTGTTTTACAGTTCGCTTGGTGGGTTTTGTGTTGTGATATATTTTTGGACCAGGAACTGGTATCCAATCCTTACTAATCTTCTTCTTCTTCTTGAATGCTCCTTTATTTTGAGTCCGCGCTCGTCATATGAAGTTTGACACGAGGATTTTAAACAATATTCTTCATCGACTGACGGTGTCAGATTTTTTATTTTTATTTAGAGGCAACGTACAAGCAATTCTTGTCTGTACACGTAGAATAAGAAGATGTATATCATTAATATTCACAGACAAACCCCAACCATAACAAAGACAGCCATGGACCAGCGATAACCATTAAATTTTGATTAAATTGTTTATAATAATAATTAACAATTTAATCAAAATTAAATATTTATAGTCGCTGGTCCATGACTGTCTTTGTTATGGTTGGGGTTTGTCTGTTAATTAAAAGACGTGGTATAGTAAGCTGAAAACCTCAATTGCCCACCAAGAATTCATTATTCTCGCACCTAACACTTTCACTGAACAAATATTTGAAAGTATTAATTAATTGTTTGCCCATACTACCACACGGGAAATGCACTATAAATTACATCAAAGTACACGTAATTTGCATGTACAAAGCAAAACATTTAAGCAAACGCTGCCATTATAAAACGGCTCCACTTCGAGAAACGTTTAATTGACTAGTGTTCCGTTCGATCATTTAGATCATTTTAACATATTTAAAAAAATGCCTCGCCGAACCAACATTTGTAAGGGTTTGAAACAAAAGTTTGAGTTCTAAAACGATGGATGAACGTGGTGACCAGTTCCTGATCCAGTAGTACTATCGTACTTGTTCTGCCTGCACCTTCTGGCTTTTTTTGCTTGTAACTATGAAATGACCTCAGTAAACGCCTACTACTAAACGGCCATCACTCTGATATGTACATTGCTCAGTCCCTTCAGTGTCCTTATTAGGGAAGTTCTTAGGAATTTATTCCAGGTAAGTACGCTAATTGTCTTTATGATATATTTTTACAGGTCCTGACATTTTTATAGATACGTATATGGATAATCATTTGCTGAAATTGGCTCGAAATATCCCTGAAGACTGGAAAATAGTGGCAAAATTTCTTGGTATTAGCGATGGTAAAATAGCGGAGATTGACTTGAATCACCGCCGGAATGGTGTGTTATGGCAAGCATATATGATGCTCAAGCATTGGTGGACAACTCGTCCTCCAGCCGCGCAGTCCTGGCGCGAGGAACTTGGCAAAGCTCTGCGTGAAATTAATAGACAAGATTTAGCTCAAAATTTCACAGGTGATGTTCTTCAAACAGATACATGACTTGTTGTATACTTATAAAAATGAACTTTTTAAGGTGAACTTGAAAGATTTTTTCTGCACTTCACTTGGTTGAAGCTGAATGACGGAGTAGATGGATAATCCAAGTGAAGATATATATACACTGTTCATACCTGACCAGGAACGGTTTCTATGCAACACTATAGGTCTTAAATAGTGTTACATTTGTTAGGTATAAAAAAGTGTATATAGCTATATATCGTCTTTTGGATAATCTATCTACTCCAATATTCAACCTTTTAATATGATAATATCTTATTTCTTTTGACGTATATGTTTTTCCGAAATTCTCCCTTGAAAGTCCTTTCAAAAATGTTAAAAAACCAGTTCAACATTGTTTCCCAACATCATCCCACAATTAATGGGTGCAACATATTGGATTTGTTAAAGACTCACATGGTTGGCAATGTTGGTTAATCAAGTTTAGACTGCAAGCAGCCCCTTCTACTGCTCGCAGTCTAAATCAAGTTTGACTTTATTTAAAAGTTTCATCCAACGTAGTTTGACATTGTGGCTCAACATCATCTATGCAACATTAGTTAATAGGGAGTTTAAGCTTCACGTTTCCGGGAACGGCAAACGGCAGGTTCGAACTTTCTTGGCAAAATTTTCGTTGAACGTTTTCGTTTCATATTTTCTTTCTTGCGTCGAAAGAATATATACTTATGTATTTCAGTTTTAAAACAGCAAGTTTACTTACTCTTTATTGCCTGATACTTAAATTTTTTTTCTTTGCCTGGCGTTTGCCGTTTGACGTATAACGCGAAGCGTAAACTCTCTAATGGATACAACATGTTGGGGTTTCAGTTCAAACGTTATGTTTGGTGATGTTGGCTGATGTTTATTCAAGTTTGACTTTATTCAAAAGTTTCTTAATTTCAACGTCATTGTTGGACTGGTTTGACATAGGAAAAACGATATGTTGAGAATGTAAAACCAATGCAGGATCGCACTTGAAAAATTTCATTTGCGTTTTGAACTGTTGAGCTTGAGATTCAACTTGCGTTTATTTATCGTAGTACGCCAAAGGGTTGACTTGCGACGAACTTTTCATTTTGATACGCGAATACACCAATACACCCGGAAGTTTCCGGAAGTACGTGATTTATCAACCTCTTTTCAATCTACGCATGCTCACCAGTACGGTACCAATATACGGCACGGTTTCGGTACGGTACGGTTGAAGGGGAAAACTGGCTTAAATCCAAATGTGTAACCGGGGCTGTTATTTTTGGAAGTCTGGAGAACTCACATTATACTATCCATTGCATGCACTTACTAACAATGCTGGCGATTCTACATGCCCATCAGAAGGACACAAAAAATTTTATTATTCGTTCAGCAAACTATAGACTAAGTATAGTATATATAGAAGCAATAATGGAAATTAATTCGTAGACTTTGGAAAAGTTTTCCAAATTACCCCCATCCCCATTGCAATGTTGGCTTGTGGTCCAATGATTATGGTTTGAACCAACATTGTACTAGGGGGAGAGGGGGGAGTTATACTATTTGTAGCGGTCATGGACGTTTGTATTACTGTAACTATAAAAATAAAACTGATGGCTTTACAAAATAGTAAGACAAAATAGGTTTTAAAAAATCTACGGATATTATTTCCATTTATTGTAGAAGAGGTAAAAATAGTGGTTAGACATTTCAGAGTTTAAATACAGTAACTTCAAGGCAAGCATGTCAGCACTTTCACGTCGTCAAGTTATTTCTAAAGAGAGCTATTGAAAGCACAACACATTAGTGAAACACCTTCTCAGGGATGTACAGACTACAGTTGAAACTGGGATTTGGGCAAAATTAAAAATGGCTGGGAAATGGGATTTAGAAAAAGTGGGCTGGGAAATGGGATCTAGACCCCTGTCATGACCTATGGTCATGACCCTCCTATAAGACCTGCCCTGCGATAATGTCGCGAGATAATTTGATTAAAGGCATGTAGCGATTTAGGGGCGAGTTAAGAGAAACTTGGCCAATTTTAGTTAGTGCCAGATGGTCCCAGAGCATCTACCCCCAAGAACGCCTGATCGCAGGTTACAGAGCACCGAGTAGGTACCAGGGCGTCAAAAAGAATGGGCGGTGAAACGCCCTGAAGGGCGTCTATATTCTTATGGACGCCCTGATGGTACCGAGCAAGGTGGTCTGATTCATTCAGACCATTTTTGCGCAGTTCAATATTGGGACGAATTAACTAGTCTGGAACCAGCATAATTAATTCCTGTTAATTTGGTCAATTTTTAACTAAACACTTCCGGTTTAGAAAGGGCGAAAAAGTTTCCTTTTTCCTAAACCTGCCACGCAGGCTACCTTTTTCCCAAACCCATTCCTTTCCAACCTCGTTCAGTGAACTACTGAACAGCACTCTATAAATACTAGATAGGTTGATTCCTGTCCTCTCCTTTCGCCTAATAATATGCTGTTTTTTCCATGAAATTTCCTAACATGTGGAAGCACAAATAGAGATCAGTGGAAAAACAATGGGAGCTGATTACTTCGGCTAGCAATTTCTCACACAGCTTTCAGTTTCAATTTTCAAAAACCGCTATGCGTGCATTCCGTTATACAAACTCTGAAACAAATTCTGTGTCAGTAGACTGAACTAGTATGAAGCTACCACAGGAATGCCAAAATTATGGAATGCTGTTCACTTCGATGTTGACATAAAATTATAAGGTAGGAATATGTGCGGAAACTTGGCGGTCTTGGCCGTTTGGCCGAACAATAGAATAATAATATTGAGTAGACGAACGTATGATGATTTACTGAATTACAGTTAAGTCGAAACGTCGAATAAACACTTTTCGTAATGTCCAGAAGTTTCAATTTTTAATTACTCGAACTGCCTTTTATAAAATAATTTGATGACTTCATCAAGTGAAGAAGACATCACATCATTATTCACTATAGATATTAACCAATATCTGTCTATCAGAATATTTTATATTATTTGTAATAGCTGGTATATGTTAGCAAAGCATCAGGGGAAAAGTGGTGTACACTCACAGCAACAAACATTTGGGAGGGACACT